CTTTCCTCCGTCTCTGAGATAAAAATTCTAACCTACACTGTAAATGATGGACTGTTTTTGCTTCACCATGGCAGATATGCCGGAAAAAACAGCAACTGGCACTATTGCCATCCAAGTAGAGGATTTTAACGACCACTGCCCCACGCTGACCAGTGAAGTCCAGTCCATGTGCACAACCAAAGACAGCGTCATTGTTAATGCCCAAGATGAAGATGCATTTCCTAATGCAGCGCCGTTTGAGTTTATCATCAACCCAAAAGGCACAGAGGGAAAATGGCACGTGGAGCGCTACAACGGTAACACAATATGTCATTTGCAGAGAAAATCTGAATGAATTATTAATAACACTGACAAACAGTTTGTGTTTTTAGAGTTTCAGCTTTTTGTGACTTTCACTTAGTGCTTGATTGTTTTACCTGATTTTACTTCCAGGAACAAATTCTTGATATTTAAATGCAAAAAAAAAACAAAAAAAAAAACAAATAAGAAGTTTGCCTTTTTCTCCTTTAAATTAAAATCTTGTGTAATACTATTTTAATTTCTTTCAAAACATCCATTATCTCCTGGGGCACCGGCGTGGGGCAGGCCTCCCCGGTAGGGGGTCGCTGGTTTACAGTACAGCAAAAGATGCTCTATATAACTTCACATTTGACATTCAAAAGGGGGATATATTTTTCCTGCTATGTCTTTTACTTTGTCTGCCTGAAATGTATAGCACTTAAAAATTTACAAAAATTAATATATAATATATATATATATATATATAATCCTTGTTATCCCTAATTGAAGACATGTGTGATTCAAATGATTGAAGATGTTTCTGACATATTAAAATTATTTTTATTTTTTTTAATAGCTTCTATTTTGACATGACCCTCACTAATGTATGATTTTTTTTAAAGAAAAGCTAATTTCTCTTTAATCTCCGATGAACTCTGATGATCAAATCATTGTTGGATCCAACAGAGACTGCAGCTATTTTGAGGGTGGAGGAGGAGCCTTGGCCTGGTGTCTATAAACTGATGGTGGAGGTGAAAGACCAGCAGGGAAAGTCTTGTGAAACCCCACAAAAGTTGGATGTCCATGTCTGTGTCTGCGAGGATGGAGTTGTCTGTGCAAACCGAGCCTACATGGGTGAGACTGAGAAGCTGTCGGAGCTTGGAGCTGCAGCCATCGGCCTGCTTTTTCTGGGACTGCTGCTTTTACTGCGTAAGTATGGTGGAGTTTAAACTACTTTAAGGATCATACTTTACCCTTTAGCAACTCTCAGTCCCCATTATCTTTTTAAGCATTTCCTTTAAGCCACTGGTGATCTAGCTTTAGTTAGTAGGACGATGATGATTTGCCCACACTGAGCTGGGAACAGTCACTACTGATATTGGTGTCCTTTCCACATGGTTGGAAGAACCTTAAAACAACCTAACAGGGCTGACTCAGCTCCCTCTTCTGATCTTGGTGCATTTCTTTTTGGCACAAATGGCCTCTGGACAGCTTGTTTATACATGGTGGCTAAAACAGGGTGTTGCTATGTTGCTATGTGCATTCCATTCAATTCAATTTATTTCTATAGAACCAATTTACATCATGTCATCCAAAGTACTTTACAGTTCAACAGATCATCCAGTGAAATTGGTTCAAAATTTTCTATCAAAGGAAAACCAGCTGATTGCATCGATTTATTGACTCTTCAGCAA